ATCGTAATCCCTGTGGTGGGAATGAGTTGGATTATATGAATAAATCGTTCATGAAGATAAATAAATATTGAAGTTGTGATTGAGAATCCCCATTGTATGCTATGACATTGTTTCAAAGAGATATTTAACCTTGTTCCTACATACAAAGTGAAAGTAAAACCAACAACCAATGCCTTCAAGTCACATAGTGTCATGCAGAAAGTTCACATCTGTGTTCATATACATTTGACACATTTCATGAGTAAAGAATATGGAAGACCAAACCACACTAGATAACATCAATATCACTATATTTAGCATATCATCTGTGTAACTTCTTTGATTCATGGATTGAGAACTTGCAGGTGAAATCGAAGGGAACAATCACCTTAGGTGGTTCTTTCTCGTTTGATCATACAATATCTAGACCGTTTGACTTAGATCACTAAAATATCATCGGTGACAAATAGACAAATGTCCTATTGTGACGCTATTGAGGCCTAGCCCCATCTTACCTCCTTTGGATTATCCCCATCAAACTTGTTGTGTAATCTTATCCTTCAGGCTATGTAACTCGGTGTTTGGTTCTCTTCAGGAACTTGCACAGCTTGTCTAGAAACAAGAATGTCATGAACATCTGTGTCCACGGTCTCGAAAAGAAATGGGAGATGGATCCAACTTTCCAAATCTAGTTAGCTCATCAAACGCCAGTTTCCACACGTCATTGAAGTATCTTGCAAATTGTGTCATAAAGCTAGTAAAGTGTTTCATTATCGTTCATCAGTGCCTCGGCAATGGGATCAGTCTTCTGGAAACTCGGTTGCGACCAGATCAAGCTTTCAGCTAAATCCTTAGAGCAGCAAGAGACGTTTTCATAGAAGAGTGTAAGCATCCTCGTCGTCTCCTCCCTCACATGGTCGAAGAGAGCAAGGGAGTCCAGGCTGTCTGCCCTTTTCAGTCTCCCCTCCATCCTTCGATATTTTTAGCCTTTAGTTACCCGTGAATTTACTTCACGGAAAAATCAAAATTAAACTCATTTTCTGTTGGCGAAGAATCCGATCTTCTGCTCCAACCAGCAGGGTCAGAGGCACAAGATGTGCCTCTGGGAGGCCGGTCTGTCTGTCTATCTGTCAGTCACCGATACGAGACTGGGAGTGAAGAACAGAAGAAGGAATAAAAGTCTGAGACCTTTGCTGCCTACAAAATGATATCCTGATCTGAATATGTGTTATCACCGAGGCAAACGTCCGATTGCAGTCAATGGGGAGCGCACATATTCTGGTCAGAAAGCGGGATCTCATATCCTGAATGGCATACCAGAACATGGCAATCGGGCCTGTGGATGACAGGACATGATGAGAGTACGGACATCTACCTGTGAACACAAAGGGCATTGTTCACCTCGGCTGTTGATAACGTAGGCGCAGTCAGGACCAATACCGTATGTACATCGAGATATGGCTGTCAGCTCGTGTAATGAATACTCGAAGAAGAAGATCAGGCACATGAAGAACAAATTGAGAGATCTTTGTTTACGATCCGCACATGCCCCGATACCCAGAGCCTCAGAAACGCAAACGAGATCTCCACTCTGACCTCCATAGATCCTTCGCCAAGTCTGCCGAGCCTCCAGCCATTAAGACGCCATCGCTCGCAGTCTCGAGCCCGAACGAGCCCTCCCCGAGCCTGACCGTGCTCGTTGTCACCCAGGATCGGGATTCCATGTTCCGAAGCTCTGTCCGAACCCCGTTGGACACGTCGGTAGCGGGTGCGATGACGGATATCCGAGCTCGGGGTCCGTCCAGCGTACAGGACAGGAGCGGCCGTCTGACAGAGCGGCCGAAAGCTTTCGGCCTTCGAGGTTCTCTCGGCTACCTGTCGCAAGGGCCGGGCGGGGCGGGTCAACGGTGACGGATATCGGCCTGACCGACCCTGCGTCGTGCTCCCTCGCAGGCCGTAGATTCAGCCCGCGCCGGATCTCTCCCTGGCGCTGCTTGTCCAGCGCAGCCGAGGACCAGCGGGAGGATCGCTTCCGAATACGGCGGTCAGACGGCCGGAATAGGCGATCCATCTGCCAATGCCGCTTTGCGTGTCGTGAGGATGCCGGCCGTGCCTTCCGCGAATGCCTCGAGTCCACGTGTACCGTGCTGGGGCTACTACTGTACTAAAAGTCCTTGAAAGAGCCGACGCGGAGAGACGGTGAAGAAGAGACGGAGCGCAACAATTCCACCGGAGCCCCAAAGGTCCTTCGTGCCCGCCTTCGTCCCGCCAAAAAGCACGAGCAGAGGAGATCGCATAAAATCTGAGCAGGCGTGAGGCACAAAGGAAATCGTTATCACATTCCAGAAATCCCCCCAATGCAACTTCAATTTCGTCCTTTCGAAACCTTTCAGATCCCCCTCCCTACCCCATCCCAAAGGGCCGATCTGTGGGGCTCGGGCCGATCACATGCAGCCAGTCTCCACCAGGTTGAGTACGAGTACGAGCACCAGATCGCCATATCACCGAACCCTCGCCGCACCAAAGCTTTAATTCGATCGGGCTCACCGTTTCCATGAATGGATTAATAATGTTCGCAGCACTAAAGCCGCTCGCGAAGGGATGAGATGCAGGTGTGCAGGCAGAGAACGGGTCCCATGGAGACCGACGGTGATGGCCTCTGTGATTTGCCTCTGTCGCTGTACGCCCGAAAGACTCGCAGCGAGTGAAAAAGCGCCCCCGAGGCCACGAGTTCGCTCGCTCTGAGCCTGACCTAGAGCTTGGCCCTGAACCCTAAAGCGCCAAAAGTGTGTTGTGGCAAGGGCAATAATGGACCTTTGTGCCAAATCCACATCTGGTGGCCGCGGAAAGCAAATCAAAGCAAAGCAAAACAAAGCTTGCTATTGACGTTCCTTATGCTCGGCAAGGGGCAGCGAAAAAATTCCCTGGCAGCCGATAATTTCTCTACGCAACTTCCATCTTTCTCCCAACCGTCAGCGGGAATGAAGGACTTGTCTCGTGCTATATTTCACGAGGAAACGAAACATTTATGATATGATTCTTACGAGATATATTTCCTGGAATATTTCCGAAAGCGAACTGGATTTTCGTGAAATATTTACTCGTGAAATACAGGATACCTCTATGGAGGCGGTGGGAGCAACATATTGGGGACAGTTGAATGTCGTTATAATTCGTGGAATTATTTTCCTGTCTTATAGACAAGTTGTGACTGGAATTTTAATCGGACTTCAAGAGTGCTGAAAAATAACTCTATAATGAATCCTATTATTTAATTTTAAAAAATTTCAAAATCTTTGATAAAAACATTGAATGTATGTACTTCTTTCATACTCTTGAAGTATTCATTCTCTCAACAATAATCCCCTGGCTATTGTTGTAAACTCTTGCTTGGGTCTTCCGCAGGGTGGGCAGATTTTTAGGTTCGACGATCTGCATACGAGGCAAGAAACCGTGTCGCATGAAGATTCTAGCGGATTCGCGAACAACATTTCCCGTCTGACGGAACTTTGCCCGCCAAAAAATGCGGCAGGTGAGTGATTCCCGAGTGATTCATTAGTTTCATTCATTCGTGACCAGCCGCCTGATATAGATTGGACGCATATGAAATAAGAATCACGAGATCGGACGGAAAACTCCACGAATCGAACTCTGCCGTACTCTCGATATACGGCTGCGTCCGGCCGCAGTCTTCAACTGCCGTATGTACGAGACGAAGAGACGGATCCTTGCGGGGTTCGGCCCCGTCTGTCCGAACATGCGGATGTCCTTTAACGGTCTGCTCTCCGTTTCTATCATGCTGTCGTGTTCTCAGTCTGCAAATAAGCCAAAATCGGAACGTACACTTAAACTTGGAGCGTCCCTCTCGACGGGACTCGCACACGCACACACGAGAGACTAGAGTCCCACCGAGGGACAGTGCCGGCGAGAGATGACGGACGCGTTTTATGCTGAGCGGCGGGTATTCAGATGAGGCACCATTTCACGTCCGTGGACCTCGAGTTCTCGTCGGGTTAATCTCCTGCCGTGTACGGTCGCAGAAGGACGCGTTCGGATTGCGGGTTCCAGACTTCCAGTTTGCGGTGATTCTTGAGCCCTCGGACGACGCGACGAATAGATTCGCGTCGCGTAACGTCGCGAGTAGTCGCAGTCCGAGGGGCGGGACGAAACCGGCCCATGTGAGAGGGATGTCGGGCGGTCGCCGGTCGACCGGAAAGAAGCGCATGTGGAAATGTGAAACCTTCGGGCGAAGGTGTCGGTTCGGAGTTGGGCATCAGAGCGAGGCCCCATGTGAACAGGCAAGGAGGGGGGACGAGGGGGCGGTTCGGGACTAAATTTAGAGGTGAGAAAGCGGGGTCGGGACGGGGGGCACGAGGCGGAGCGGACAACTATCAGGGAGCGGAAGAAGGGGACCCAGGGGGCGGTGGAGGCAGGGAATCGGGGGCGTGGCGGGGGACGGGGGGAGAGGACGGGGGTTCCGAGAGAGGGGGAGCAGGAGGGGATATGATAATGAATGAAGAGGAGGGAGATCTGACGACGGGGGCTCTGTGACGGATGAAGTGAAGGGATTCGGGGAAGGGGAGAGGGGGTCGCGAGGAACGATGGCAGTTCTGCCTGGCTGCGAGCGAGGGCGAGGTCAGTTGGGATTGGATGGAACTCGGCACGAATGACATCACGGAGATTCGCAAGTTGTTACACTTTTTTCCTGGTCTGACGCGCTGCTCCCTGTCCCTTTGCACCAAGTGGATGTGCCTAGTTGTAAAGCCAAAGCCCTCTCTCAGTTGCCCAACCCACAGTCCATAGGCTTTTACGGCACTGGTGAATTTACTTTGCCCTCTGCCACAGCGGCAGCCTCGCCTCCCTCCCCTAGCTCCAGCTCTAGCACTGCCAGCCCCCCCCTGCCCCCACTGCCCCCCCCCCCCCCCCCCCCCCACCCTGCCCGAGCCCTCGAGACCGGCGAGAGCATGATGGAAAGCACTTTCTTCACCGATAGATAGCGTCTGATGCCTTCTTCGTAGATTCTGGCCGTGAGCATTGCGTCTCTTTGCTCTCTGCTCTCTCTGCTTTCTGCTATCTGCTATCCGCTATCCGCTTCGAGTCCGGGTCAGAAACATTGTTTTTTCTGCGATCCTTTCGCCTTGCCTTCTGTCTGCCCTGTGAGTTCTCCTCCCTCCTTACTTACTTCCTTTCTCGTTTGCTGCCGTGAAACATTCGCTTCCTTCCTCTCTTCCTTCCTTTCGGGCCTCTTGAAGGCTCTGCAGGGCACGGTTCACAGACGGTAACTCTGTCGAGCCTCGTGCATTTTTCGCGGCTGTAGGTTGTTGTCCGACCATTTTGAGTCTATTCAGGTGAAGCTAAATCGCACTTCTTCAAATGTTCTTCAGGAGGCACGGTCACTAGCTCAGCAGGATGAGTCCGTAGCTGAATTATGATAACATGAGGCCTCGTTAACAACAGAATCCTGTTAGTACTTCGTAGTTGAATCAGGAGCTTGCCTGCCGCCTGGATTCACTGCAAGTATGCTCGAAAGCGACTGAGAATCAGTGGACATCTCCAGCTCGTTGCACCGTGGCCCTTCTGTTTCGCCCGCCTCTGTATCTGTTCGTTCTCTCATCTGTCCGAAGCTCTTCGGGCTGTAGCCACCGGGGCTTCAAATAGGTCTTGCGAGAATCGAAATGGAGCCTGGAGCTGATATTTGTGTGTGGCCATTGGCTCGGGATGTGCAGAATACGGCATTGGGGATATCGGGACACACCCTTTAACACTCGAGAGCGAAGCCGTACCGCCTGAAATCATCGAGGTGACACATTCTTCTCGAGCGGTGATGCGTTCTTGCGGAATTGCCAAATATCGGTGGAACGAGCCGCCGCGTGCTCAATTGTGCCCTCGGGAAGAATGGTAAGAGCGCAGAGAACAGGTTGGACGGGATAAGCGTGGGTCGGAGCTCTCGGGGAAGGATAATTTGCCATCGTGCAGGCCGAATACTAGGGTGCTGAGGGGTAGCTTGGTGCTGATGCTGCTGCTAATCAATCTCGGTGAAGAAGTGCTGACGGAATCTGAGGTGGAGGGGAGCGACTGAAGCTGCGGCATAGTTGGTAGAGAGTGGAGACAGTTGTCGAGCAGAGACCGGTTTTGCAGGCAGCTGAGTCGAAAGTTTCTCATTGCAGGCCAGATGGAAGGAACCGCCTGACTTCTCCACAGCGTGCCATGTCGAAGAAGAAGGCCGGAGCTCGACATCATCAGGAATACAGTTTCCTTCGACTCTCTTTGTAAGTCCGCCGAGGTCTCGATCCTCGCAAGGCCTTCTGTCAAGGATGTGTCTGTGTCCCGTGTCATGATTGACGGAGTTGTTGTCATTTGCCGAGCTGCGAATCAGTCGTTTGCTCCTGCAGAGCGGAGTTCTCCTCCTCACAAAACTTGACGGCTTTGCTTGTCTGCCTGAACAGATTACCCAATCATGGTTTGAGTAAAGTCACGGGGCAAACCATACTCGACATCCTTGACGCTGCTCTCACTGGCATGTACGGCGTGATTGGTGGAGCAGTTCCTCACGATCTCGTGTCCTTCGGTGAAAATAGCAACACTGCTATCATTCGCTGCAAGCAAAGGTGAGTCGGTGGTGCGCAGCCGTGGTATTCTAAGGCCCTGGTGTACGAATCTTCAGGAATGTTGTCAATCATCGAATAATGTCTCTCTCATACTCGAGTTAAATTGAAGTTGTCCAAGCGTAGTCTCCCTCGCACGTCCACGACTAGAAATGATTACTGTCTGAGAGACTCTGTTACAGCAGTTGGTGTCAAAATCGTTGGGTTCAACATTTTTGATCGAATCGAATTGTTGGATAGTCGTTCTCGCTTTCTGTCCTCGCTCTAAGCCAGAGATGTGAATGCCTGTCTGCAGGGATGAGGCGAAAATTTGGGCTGCCACAACTGTGTTGACGCAATATAAGGGTTCTTCGTTCCAACTTCAGGTTTTGGAATCCTCCTCATCGATCGCCGTTCCCACGGATACCGAAGAGTGAGCGAGAATCGCTTCGCTACAACTGCAATGATGGAATCCGAACAGAGATTATTGTCGTTAGAGAAAATCGAGCCATAAGAGGAACGAACCTTGGAGGAAGACGTGAGTCTTATCTAGCAGGGGGTGGGCTGCGAAGGCAGGCGGAGGTGTCCAGAGGAACTATGCTCGTTGTCCCCTGACAGAAGTGTAGTTCTTCGTAGAATGGTACAGGCTCGATAAGTTATGGCTGAACAGGAAATCAAGACGGAGAGTACCAAAAGCTTATTAGGACAGTGTGTTGGCAAACTCGGAGACAGGTCCAGCAGTGATGTGATCGTCAGGTTGAGAACCGTGGACGGCAAAGACGACTGGTTGTACTGTCACTCGAGCATTCTCTGTGAACACAGCAAGTACTTTGCGGCACGACTGTCCGATGATTGGCCGACGTACCACCTTCTCGATTCCCGCAACTGTATCGAGCTTTTCTGTTCTGAGAGCGATGTCGATCACCATATCACTCTCTTGAGGCTCCTGTATGCGAAAGAAGAAACCCTGGCCGACATGTGGCATAATGTAAAAAATGCCCTCGGTATACTAAAGGTTGCCACGAAGCTCGGCTGTGATGGTATGGTCGACAAATGTATGCAGTACTTGGAAGCTGTACCGTGGGAGGAGAATGAAGAAGAGGAGATTCTGAAAACGCTTCCCATGCTCGGGTCTTCCATGTTTCCTGTGTTGGCTCGAATTCAGCCAGTGGACGCAGAGGCTGTCCGAAATGTATTCATCTCTGCAATCCGAGTGGCTACATTGCCGGAGAGGAAATCCTCCGAGGCCCTGGAGAATTTTCCGAGTGAACTGAAGGCAGCCGCCCAAGAGCAGGTGGAGTACATGCTGGTAGAGGACGAGGATGCACCTTTGCTGGTAGCCGACGAGTCCGTGAAAATAGAGTTGAAAAAGTGCTTCTCTGAGCTTTTCGAAGGGTTCAAACTGGAGCTGACAGCTCTTCTCCCGGAGGTAGTTACAGAGGGGGACTTGACGGACGAGTTTGTGCTGGAGAAGGTATCAGATCTTGCGTGGGCTGCACGGGTGCTTCCCAGGGTTGGGTTGTTGCATGAGATGGTGATCCGCTGGGTAGAGACCTCCGAATATCTATTGAAGGTCCTGTCTGATGATAGGTCCAAGGAAACCTTCTGGGAGACTAAGTTCAAAGTGGTGGATCTCACCTCCAAGGTGTTGGAGGCCGTGGGTTACGGTAATGTCATTCTACCAGCTGAGCAGCGCACACACCTTGTCAAGCTCTGGCTTCCTTACATTAGGGAGATAAAACCTCTCTTGGACGCTAACTTCATGTCTGGGAAGTTGTCACAGCGCATGGATGGGGACCTTTCTCAAACCATAGAGTTGGCTTTTGTGTCTCTCATTTTGTCCTTACCCTCGTCTGACCAAGCAGACATCTTGGCAGATTGGTTGAAGACTGAGCAAGCTCGATACCCCGACCTGACTGAGGCCTTCGAAGTATGGTGTTTTCGAAGCAAATCTGCTAAGCGGAGGTTCAATGCCGATGTGTCAGGTGCGGGAACTGCTCCCATTAGCAGCAGTGGTTGCGCAATCTAGAGAGTCTTGTCCTCTGCCTCGAGCAGATGTATATTACCCGAGTGAAGTTGACCCCCTCAACCTCGCTCTGTGATTCATTTTTCCAAACGAGGGAGTAGTAGTTCCCTCGTTTGATCGCATTACATTCACATTTACGTGTACATGATGGGCGAGAGTCTGTACGATGCACCTGGAGTTCCAGAATCTACCTTCTCTTGATACAGCGCACGCAGGTTTCCTGCTCTGTGGATACGCCTCTCTTCCCTCTTTTAGACCGGGGGAGATAGACCTTTGCCTGAGCCCATGAGAGTCAAAACTCGACAATTAGGAATTGTTCAGCTAGAAGATAACTAGCCTGATGAAATAGTTAACAGGCTAGACGCCGCCTCGACTTCAGTGTGCTACCTGAGAGAGGGCAATATACCTCAAATTCGACCTAGTCAGTTTGTCCTGGTCGTTCGAGTGGATATCTTGATTGTGGCCATGTATCTATCTTGACCCTCGTTGGTGGCCCGGATTCTCACATCTTTGAAATGTTCAGGCACGATTGACACATCCCGTGGCAGCATAGAGAGTGACTACAGTGTGATTCTTTCCATGAGGGGCATGTGTGTTCTTGGGGAGACCATTGCTCTTAACTTTCAGCGAAATTACACAAAGTACCGATACTGCTCGAGAAGCTGGCCTCGAGTCAGGCGTGAGTTGAGGAGATGTAGGTGAAACAATATGTTCCTACTGTTGATTTTTGACTTGTCTCTTATTTAGTTTAGTTTTCGTCCATCCAACAGCAGCCAGCAACCCAATAGTTGTGGCGTAGTTGATGAAGAATCAGTTGCAGCACTCGCTATGAATGCGAGTTTTTTCACTGTCCCAGTGTAGCTGCCACTTTGACCTCTTCACTGTAAAAATCGACTGAGCTAAGAATGCTACTACTTCCGAAGTTTATGACATGCTTGCCTGGTTGATTGTATGGTGAATCTTGGAAGTAGGCAAGCGTTCAACTCGCATATTATTTTATTCTGGCATGTTAACCACATCTATCACCAAGCACTTTTGCTTTGTCTATCTCAGAATAGTTCAGCCGCTTAATATGTCCTTCAAATATATATACGCTACAACGTGGACCACCTTTCTATTTATAACTGTAAATCAGAATCTCTGTAGATTTTTAGTGTAGATAGCAGGGGCAGAAACCCCGCCTCTCTTACACGCAAATTGAGAGCTGTGTGGAACTCTGTTCAGTGAAAGTATACAATGTGAAAGCTTCTGTTGTTATAGTAACACACCAGGAGATCACATTTCCCCGAATCTACGGATCGGTTTGGATTCTGTCCGTGCCGCCCTCGCTTCACGAACACTTCCACTGGCGGTATGCAGCGTGGAAAGCGTGTTGGTCTGAATCTGGAACTTCCCATCTGGGGAACTGGACTAGAAAGATTGCAGTTGCATATTTGACTACGCCTCACCCATTCGAGTCTCTGAACTCTTATCTCCGCCGACATGCTTTTGGATCTTTCATTCCTGTATGTTATTAAAACTTGCATCATGACGTTGTGTAAAAAGTGTGTTGGCATTGTCGACCCAGATATTACAGTGTAGGGTAAACATGTTCTCTCATTCAGTTGCAACAAATTGTTTAACCTACACTACTGAAATTACTGAAAGGCACATAAAGCATGACCTTGAATCAGATGCACAAAACTTTATGAGCGGGAGAAGGTGGGAAGTAACTGCTGGCTGATTCAACTCTCATTGAAGATCTGACTTATATCTGACGATAGAGCAAGAGAAGTTTCGATATCGTGAAACTTCTTGGGCCACTGAACCATGCCATCATTTGTATCTGAAGAAAACCGGTCAGAGACTCACGTCGCATGGGAGACCAGTTGACAGGCAGCACATCTTCCATGCATTTTGGACTTAGATTTCAAGGACACCGTTCAGCCTTGTTCACGAACAATCACACCGTAGGACGAAAAACTTGCAAGATGGTCGTCTAGATTTAGATCGGACGTATAGCGGTACGGCAGTGTGCTGAATCGAGCTTGATTATCCAGCTAGGTCATCATCGCTGTAATGGTACGTCTCCACTTTCGTGCACGAGATGTACAACGACCTTTCGGAGGATTGAGAGACAAAACTGTTCAACATCTTTCCATGGTGGATGAGGTTCCCCGCCTGGTCGTTGAACGACACAATCCATAGAAACTTGTAGCGAGCTGTGTCGCTTTTTGAATCTTCCGGAAAATACTTTCCTCTTACAGACTCTGAATGACAAAGTCCAAGAGTGGAATCTCTGGACGTCCATAATGATGAGTAATGTATCTGAAGGCAATGTTCATCTTGTCCTAAACAGTCCTCCATCCACCATGAGAGATTCCGACGTTTGGATTCACGCTTCTGCTATGGGAGGAATCACATCACGGCATCCATGTTGTGGAACATGTAAGAGCATCATCATTGCAATTCAAAGCTTTATTATAAGATGCTGATTCTGGAGAGCATGTGACTCGCCAGATTCAAAGATGCATGTGACCAGGACTGATGAATATCATCCGGAAGCAAAAGAACCGAAGACCATTTGTGATCGTTGTCTCCCACCTATAGTGTCTAAGCTCGACGGAATGAAAAAATCATACGGAAAAGATTGTTTCCTCTTCTAAGTATCAAGTGCATGTCTCATCTCACTGTGTTTCTGTAGAATATATCTGCATATTTATACTCTATAGATAGCGTTTTCACAGTACTTTATCAAGCTATTTGTATGTATAACACTTAAGTTGTTCAGAATAGAACCATTAATGGAAAATAAAACGTTCATATGATTGATAAATAATTTAATTCAGATAGTTAAGTATTACATATATTGTACCATACAGGGCTGCTACAATTATTTGTGTTATTCATTGCACGAGAAAATGAAAAACGGGAAAGAGCTGGATGGATGTAAATTCTATATTATTCAGTTGACGAGCAAATGAATATAAATGGAAAGGGAAATGTGGGTCCAAAGTCGTAGAGCTACTTTTACAGCGTCTATTTGATCAAAAACTCGGATTTGAGAACCGACTGAGACTGCATCCAGGATTTGGCCCCCAAAACATGGCGAGAGTTGATGAACAGGACGTGCAGGGACCTTGCAAGTGATTATAAGATCGCCCACTCCTTGCTTGGATTGAGCAAAATCTCGTGATTGACAAACTACTGTACCTTGTGTTAACGCCCGAGACTCCCGATCTCTGCACTGAAGTTCATGGGAGTTGCACTGAAGACATACATACCTTCACACTCAGGGGCGGAGCCAGGATTTTTCAGGTGGAGGGGGGCGAGGGGGGGCGAGGGGGGGGCTACCCGCCAATTTCCAATTAAAATTTTTTCTCGACCTCGTTTTCACATTCTGTAACTCACAATCTGTGTAGACCCTTCCTGGGCTTGGGGGGGGCATGCCCCCCCCCCCCCCCCCCCCCCCCCCCCTGCCCCCCCCCTGTGGCTCCGCCCCTGTTCACACTGCTGCTGCTGCAAGTTACATGGCACGAAGACCTTCGGCAACAACACTTAAACTGATTTCTTGCTAACAGCACGAAGAAACGAATCCATTCTGAATGCGGGATTCTCGTGACCGGTGCAAATTTCTGCCAGCCTTCATCACTGTGATTCTAGCTAAATCAGCCGAGGAACCCGGAGACCCCTTAGAGAGCGGACATTGCTCGAGATACACAAATCTTGGCATGAGTTCCAAAGGTATTGAAGAATCGAAGGCAAAGCCTCTGAATTCTTGAAACTGGTAGGAAGAGACATATGAAGGCGTTTAGAAAGTGTGCAGTCAATGGAAGAGGCAATGGAAGATAAGGGAAATCGGTCAATCGGACCTTGGCCTTCATGACTCAAGACAAGAACAACCTGAAGAGGAAATAAATTTGTCACTGAAACTATTTCCGTCTAGACGTCGATCAGGAATGTCCAACTTTGCACTCTTTCGGTCCTTACAGGAATGTAGTCTCACAGAAATTGGAAGGAAGTGGTGTTGACGTGATATAAGAGAAGCAATTGCTGCACCCGATCTGGACTGACCTTCGGTCACTGGGTACCCACCCACCGACAACAATACATGACTCTTCTCTTGTCGATGACCTGTAGCTGGAAGATGGAACTTGATTATATCTCGGCATGAGATCGAAAGTTGTATGCAGATAGCTGACGAGAGCAGGTATACAGAAGTTCCACATGTTGTACGTGAAAGAAGGAAGTTCTCATGCTCTACTTGTACGAAGAAATCGTTGGCTTGCTTCTCAGCGGCTATCTATAATTTACCGCATGAGGACCAGATAAGTCCACACTGAATTTACATCTCTTAATTCAACTCGGTGCCACTGTTATTTACGATGATCGATCCCAAGCTGGACTACAGTTCATGAGGAGCTTCTACTGTCACGAACCTAGAGAGAGAGAGAGGCTACTGGTGCGAAGTGTGGTGCCACGAAGCCCAATCGGAGTCTTCGTGGCATGACATCAGCGTGGAAAGGCTGCCGAAGCGATCTTGAACGGATCTTGAACGCTACTGACGAAGTTTTCAGCCAACCGGACCAGGTCGGAGGTCGGGATTGCTGAAAATCAGTCCCAGCTGACAATGAGGATTTCATACCTACGTCACATTCTTATACTTCCAACAGCATGTGATATATCGATTCATATATCTGTCCAACGCGGGCAGGCTCTTGCTATCAGTATCTTATCTGCATGCGTTTCCACCTCGACAGACGAGAAGTTCAAGAAGCGGTGGCTGACAATGTTTCCGGGGCAGAATTAGGCGCTGCGTTTTTTGCATCGAGTCCATGTTCGCTTTCGATCGACTTGGAAGACATGAAGCTATAGCGAAGTTGCGAGGGAACTCTTAGATGCGTACTTAAGCAACAAAAACAATCTTCCAATGCAATAATTACTTAAGCATGTATGAGTACTTAAGAATAAAATAAATCCTAAATCTACTCCATAAAAGGTAAAATATTCCACATCAAATGCGTCTCAAGGCGAGAAAAAAGAGAAATGCAACTTTCATCAAAACATCACTTCTACGAGATAATTGATGAACCCCTGGGAAACTGAAATTATTTGATGGGATCCAATAGGTTTCATTTTACCCCATGGGACCCCACTCAACGCACACCGTCATGTTCTAATATTACAAGTTACACCATCGTGAATCCTTCGTTGGGCTAGGAGTGCTCCCGGTGACGAGATTGGCGCTCTCGTTCATTCTCCCCAACAGCGCAGAGAGACCCGACATGGGGAGGTTATGAATGTTCTCACGGAAGCCCACAAATGGAAGGCAAAATCATCGAGCATCGGTAACATGCTGTTCACCCAATTGTCCCATACTCTGGGCAGCTGAAGCTTGGATTTTTTCCAGAGGCTTTCACACCTACTTCTGACTCTTACCCATCGTATGAGATTTACACTCATTCACCTTGGAATACACCTTGGAATACAGACCAGATAGATCGATCTTGAGAGGCAACGGATGTCAATCGATCTGTTGAGTCTGAGATTCCATTCTTGATTCGCTTCAATTCAGATTTTAGCTCCCGTTGTCAAGCACAAAGTTTACTTCGAGTTTATACCCAAGTTTTCAGATGCAGATCTAGCAAGACACTATCGGGAGTGCTTAACATCATGGTGCGGGTACAACGAGTCCCCAAATTAACTTCAATGGAGAAGTATTTTGGCCCGATGGTGACAAACACTATCCACAGTGCAACACAAATTATTTGGTTATAAGAATTTTGATTAGAACATGTCCGACGGTGCCCTGAATGAAACGTCCCATTGGATAAATTGAAACCTATTGGAACCCATCAAGCAATTATCTCCCACTTCTAACTCTTAGTGCATAAGATAACCATTATACCATTTGTACAATTGTCTGCTCATAAAGGCATCCTCGACAACA